TAAATGCAGACAGACCTAGCCTTGTGAGTGTTTTGTTATCTGGTAAGTGAGTATACCTCAGTAGTAGTAGATATGTCTTTTTAAATTTATAGGCTTCCTGTTTGTCATTATTGATTTTGTACTCCTTGTTTGCCTTGTAGAAACTATTATTCAGTAGCTATTAAATTAATGATAGGGCCATACTAACCTTCAGTCCTGGTCACAAACTGTTTCATAGTAGGTAGGCTCTGGTTATGAGAGATACAAACCCGGGAGTGGGTGATAGTGACCTGGAGAGGAGTATAGCCATTAACAATATCAACAGGTAGAATGTCTATCTGAGAACAGTATGTCCTGTTACTGCTGTTTCATGAGACAGGGCCTAATAACAGCAACAGTGAGATCAAACGGCTAGTACCTGCATAGGAAAACTCTAAAATTATGTGCACAGTATATGAACTGATGCTGTACCTGCTTACTGTTGGTCTGGTTAAGGCAGCAAGTTTCACATGGGACAGAAAACATAGTCCATATCCCTGGTTGCCAAGGTAAGTCAGAAATCTAGCCAATTTGATCACTTAAAGTAGTTTAGAGATGAGGGAGAAGTCCAAGTAACATCATGTATGTGTGGCAGAAGCTTCCTGGTAGATCTATCCTATCAAAGACTGATCCTAACCTCAAATGGCCTGACTTTCGGTGATGACCATTGTGTATTCTGTAAGCAGCTGGTTTATATTTGAATGTTGGGATTTTAGAAGCATTTGGCATGGTTGATGTTTAGTAAAGAAACAAAAACCAGCATCTTCAGCAACTCTGTATTGCCTTTAGGGAGGGATACTCAACCCCTTGGCCGGTATTCAAGTTTCTGTCCATCATATTCTTGCCTGTTTTGACAATCACATATTCCTCTATTCTAGTGGAGTCTTCTCCTGTCAGACTGAGCTCCTTGCTGCTTCCCAAACAGCCCACATGTTTCCTGGTTTTTTTTTTTGCATCTGTTCATATTATTCTCTACTCTTGGAACGCTCTTCCCACCTCTCTCTCTGCACAAGCCATCCAACTTCAGCAGGCTAATACTTAGAGTAAACTGGAACTTCAAAGATGCTATAGGAGGTGGGTCTACTTACAAAAAAAAATACCAAATACAAAACAAATGAAATATCTCTTCAGATGACTGGAATTTTGTATGTGAGTGTACGTGCATGTGCGCCTGTGTGTGTTTGTATACATAAGTACAAAATGCATGTGTGTCCACATGCATGTGGAGGCTAGACCTCAGTCCCAGGAGTTGTTCCTCAGGCACTGTCCACCCTGTTTCCTGAGACAGAGTCTTTCACTGGGACCTGGTACTGACCAATTAGGTGGGACTAGCTGGCCAGAAAACCTCAGAGATCCTCTTGTCTCTGTCTCCATGGTGTTGAGACTATAAGCATGCAGCAATTGTTCCGTGTTTTACGTGGATGCTTGTACCCTAGAACCACTAACAGAATCTCTCGGTGCTAGAACATTTCTGAATGCTTTTTAGCTGGAGAAGGAGCAGGAGGTGGCAGAGACCTAACTCGGACCCAGTGTATTTGCTGTGGCTCATGTGGCCCACAAGGAAAGCTTGGTGGAAACAGTTTGAACAAAAGCAAGCATGTGATTTGTTACTAGAGCTTGCAGATTCAGTAGTGGAAGGCATTTATTTTGGTTTGAATTTCTCTGGCTTTTAGATACCGCTTTCTCTCTCAAACTAGGTCATTTGAATTATCTGCTGATAGTTCAAATCTGTAGATAATTTGCTTTTACTCACATTCCTAAGAACTAATTACCTGTACATATAAAATGATGAAATCTCATTATATTTTCTTTTAAAACTCTGACATGCATTTAATTACATTAGTCAATTATTACCGTACATGCTGAGGATTTGCTATTGACCAGCTCGTGCTGGAATATTTACTGCACAGATGTGTTACTTTAATTAAACAAATGTGATTACACACATATCAATTTTTATTTAGTTTCAAAGCCCAGAATCTAAAAGTGATGTAGTTGGCAGAGCTGTGTGGTGTGGTGCTGGTTCCCTGTAACTCAGAAAGAGGCCCTTCACTGAGGGAACACTGAGTGCCTGTAGCTCAGTGCAGGAAACTTCAGCCACAAGTGGGTTTTCTTGGCATATAAGTGCCATTGAGCAGACTTAGGTAAGGAACAAATAAACTAGCTGTGAATCTTCTTTGCACATCTTTAGCTTTGCACTCTCCCATGTTGAAATGAGGTGCCAGGTTTGAAGAACCTTTAAGATGACTAAATTGAGAGCGGGAGTTGATTTGGAACGGATACTTGGTTAAATAGGCCAATGGGTGTTTGTCTTTAGGCTCAGGAGGGCATTAGAACCCTAGACAATTGGACTTGATCTCTTGGTCTCCTTGCTTCCCCTCACCCTACTGCTAACTGTGAGCTTAGAATCTAGGATGGACATCTCTCGGTGCCTAATCATAGTCGAGTGTGTTTGAGAACAGCACAAAGACTTAATTTAAAAGTGAGAATGCATTTTTACAAACTGGAGAAAGGCAAAATTCAATGTAACTCCAATCATGACATGTAATAGGTACTTAGTAAATAATCTAGAGTACTGTAAATGCAATAAGCTAATTCATGAGTCAAGGAACACTTACTGAGTACTGGCTTCAGGGAAAGGGAGGTGCTTTCTCTGGAGTGCAGACTGGTTGTTTCCACACAGGGATCAGCATACAGCTTCTCAAGTGGCTGTTTTGTCTCTTCGATGCATAGGTACAAGCTAATCCAATTGGCCAATTTAATCAAGGGTTCTGTTTCAACTCCCTCCAGGTCTCTAGGATACAGGACGCCTCTCTGAGGATGATGTTGGGGATCAAATGGAAGGTGAGATATCCAGATTCCTAAACACATTCACTGAAATGCTGAAGTGACTTTGTGAACTGAGACACAGGAGTGTCTATTTTTTAAATTTATTTTATTTTACTTTTTGCAAATAAATGAAGAGGTTAGTGATGTTTAATCTTTATTGCCAACTTGACTACACTTAGAATTACTTAGGAAATAGTCAGCTGGGTGTGTCATGGGGAGAAGACTCCTCCAGAATGTGTGAGATGGGGATGGGGGCACCACTCTGTGGACTTGGGTCTGAGAATGAATAAAAAGTGAGCTGAGCATTGGCATTAATTTCTCTCTGATTCCTGACTGTGGTTGCAATGTGACCAGTTGCTGGTCAGTTTCCTGGTGTCATACCTTTTCCTCATGATGATATCTTATCATTTATTAAACTGTGAGACAAAATAAACCCTTGCTTCCTGCCTTAAATTGTTTTAATTGGGTCTTTTGTCACAGCCGCAAGTAGCTAACATAGTGGTTAGTCTTGAGGTAAGGTGAGCTGAACACACAGGTCACATTAATTCAGGCTGCCCTCTAATTCAACATGTTTGTGCCTCAGCCTCTAGAATACTGAGGGTACTGGAATGTGTGGTTACATTTCATGGTGGTACTGCACTGTTCCATTTGGCTTAAACCTTTTTTCATGAAAGGTCCTGATTCTAACAGTGATGACAAACAAAGTCCATGTCACTGTACTGTTATAGGGATTGTGAGCCATATACATTTAGTAGGCTCTTGGAAAATTGCCAGTGATTGCACTAGTGGTGATGCAGTTGATATAGGTTAGCTATGCTAAAAGTTTGATTTTATTTACTCCACCTTTCCTTTCTTGCTTATATCATGTTGGACAGCATTGGCTTAGTCCCACTCCAGGAAGAAGAACTATGAGGGGCACATTCAGAGAACTTTTAAAGAAAGGTCATCTGCTTCAGCTCCCTTGAAGTGAACTGCACAAGGACGTTGAACTATGAAGTAGGAGGTTTAGGAGTCATGTCCAGGTCTTACTTCAAGTTCAATGTTTCTGACATTGCATTTGGTAAGGAAGGAAGGGCATGCATCACCCACAGAGAACATGTTTGAGAAGAGGAATATGCAGAGGACAATGAGTAACCCAAACCAGGAGTGGGAACTCATTTCTGTTTGCTCAAGTGATACACAGTTGGGATGCTGTTGCAATATGGCTGCCTTCCTGAAAGCTCTTGGATTATCTTACCAAAGGGATCACCATGTTTCTTTACAGAGTAGATGTTTCTTTATGGAGTAGACTTGGGGTTTTCAATCCACATGGCTCGAAATATTGATCATCTTACCCATAGAGGGCTGAAGCATTGATTCCCTTACTCACTGGGGGCTGAAGCATTGATTATTCCTTTTTCCACTGAGGGCTGAAACATTGACCCCTCCGTACCCACCAGGGGCTGAAGCTTTCATTAAGTTCCTCTCCCTTTAATATGAGTACCACATAAACATCATGATTTCTATGTGTGCCACAAAGGAGGCAAGCTGGGGCATTGGCCTAATTAAAGGAGCCATTTCACGGGTAGTTTTCGAGTAGTTTCAGCTTAAGCGTTGCCATCTTAGTATATCAAGTATTCTTAACCTGACATACTATTTGAGCCTCATTTTCCCCATTAGCAAAATTGGAATCATTCTTACCCTGCAGTTTTGCGATCAGGAGTCATTGAGACCATGCAGGCTAGTGTCTGAAACATCACAGATGCTCCAAACTGTGAGTTGAATGCATCCTTTTCATTGAAAGAAGTGTCAGAATTTTGTTAAGGAATACAAGCAACTCCTAGCTTCCCACTGCACTCACAGTGGCTAGATGGAGTCAGGAGTTAACTTGGCTATTAAGCTTGAGCTTTGGTGGCTTCTTGAACTCTGTCTGTTCTACCACAGAAAACTTATCTGACTTGATCCCCACTACTTAGGGAGTCAAAAACTGTCCTGCTCTCCCCATTTCCTTAAGGGAGCCCAGGACTTACTTAGCTCTGGCTCACTTCTGCACCCCAACCTCACCCAGCTCCCAGCTGCTGATCTCGTTCTTTTTGCCAGGACCAATTGTAATTAAAGTCAGATTTGTAGGAAGAAGCATGCATGCACACACAGCCAGGCTTGGAGTTACTTACCTAAAAGCAAGTTCTTTTTTCTTCTGCTCCAGTTCTTCAGCCTTACCCAAAGCAGGGGTGGGGAAGGGAATCAGGGCTTACATGGCCTGTGCTGAGGCAAAGGGATCCTGAACAAGTGACTGGCCAGCGGTCTCCCTCCATTGCGTTCAGTCAAGGACTGCCTCAGGCTGGCAGCCCCAGGTCACCTGAGCTGGGCCCAGTCCACAGGAGCTCTTAGTTTCTCCCTCTCTGTGGGGTAGGTCACTAAGTGTTGAACCCAGCATTGTGGGGGTGAGGGCTGGGCTGCTGGCCCACTGTACTTCATTATGTATTCCTTCATTGTTTCCTATGCAAATTAAGTTAATGAGAATTAGGAACATAATGGAGCCCATTCACCGTTCTAGTCGCTGGAAAATGGGTTTGACTACCAATTTTCCATTACAGCTGTTTTGTAATTACCGTGGAATACCCTGCATTCTAATGGAGATGCTGAGCTGCCTGGCAGCCTCTTGACGACTTTTTTTTTTTTTTTTTTAGGAAGGTTTAAAAAAAAAGAAAGAAGAATCAGAGGAAACTCAACCCTATAACTTGAGAGCTTTTCCATCACAGTATTCAGGTTTGGCTTTGGTGATGGAGAGCTGCACTTTGACAGAAGGGCCAATGGTTAGTAACATGGTTGGGCCACAGTTGTCCTTTTGCTTGTAAGAAAGCAAAGGATTGTCCAGGGTCACACTTAGGAGCAGTCCTCTGGAACGGTCCAGAGCCAAAGGCTACCGCATCCTTTGTCTGATCTCACCCAAGACTCCATCAAACATCTCATCCAGCTAGTGCTGAACTTGGAACTGAAGATTATTGTAGCTGTCAGAGTCTCCAGGTGGTTATAATGAGATACCAAAATTTTGGGGGAATCTCCTGTGAGTCACCAGACAATAGTGGGAAATCAGGGTCCCCTCTTAGGGACCTTAGTCTCATTAATAAAATAATTTAAGTGAAAACTCAAATGGAAATTGGAGGACAATTTTATTAGAGTTTAAAAGCAAAACCCTACAGTAGGCAAACTGTAGCAGCGCTCAGTATTTGACCAAAGGAGAACAGATAAGAGAAGGGGTAAAAAGCCAAGCTGTTTGAGTTAAGTCAACTTGGAAGTCAGCCACGTGGCACCTAAGCAAACACATGACAGGGAAGAGAATGCCAGAGAAAGTAAAGAGGCCCAAAGTTCCAGAGAAGACAATGCTAAGAACAGAGGTAGAAAGAAGAAAAGGAAGTACTGTGCTTTTCAGAGTTATTCGGGAAAGTGGGCAGTCTTGCAAAATGGTGCTGTTTGATGCTGTACTAGGGAGAGGAAATTCTGGGAAGGAAAAGTTCCACATATCTCTTTAGCATACTTTTCATGGGTGAATTTGCTTTCCTATGGGTGGTTCTGCCTTCCAAGGGGGTGATTCCCTGAGCCAGGTCATTGGCTAGCCTAACTGGAATAGTAAGTCTTCACCTGGGTCAGAGATTTCAACCTCTTGACCAGAAGGGAAAGGTGGGCCTTTACTGCTGCTGTTTCAAAAGTGCTATGAATTGGTGCCTTAAAAAATAGAAACTTATATTACTTGTGGAGTAGTCCAAGATCCAGAGGTCAAGGGATTTGGTGTCTGGCAAAGGACGGCTTCTTATTTTGTTGTAACGTCATACAGGGGAAGGGATGAGAGAGTTGTCTGGAGCTTCTTTCTCATGGCGTTACTCACACCCACAAGCTACTAATCACCTCTAAAGGTGCATCACCAATTACCACCACATATGGATTGGGGTGTCATCATATAATTGGAGGAAGTACAAATACTTCCTATAACATTCTAGCTTGACCTCTGAAAATCCATGCACATCGCGTGCTATTAATTCAAAAGCCTGAAGTTGAGACCGGAAGTCTGAGTCATCCTGAGTCAGATTTCTTCTACAGTTATGAACCTGTGAAATCAAGCATATTGTTGGCTTTCAAAATACCATGGTGCAACAGACACAGGACAGACAGTTCATTTCCAAATGAGAGAGAGACACAGGAAAAAAGAGAAGTAACAGGCTCTGAGCGAATCCAAAACCCAACAGGGCAAATTGCAGGAGACCTTATGGCTCAATAACCTAATGAGGTAAGAAACATTAGCTTCAAATCCAAAGGGAGTGCATTGAAAGACAAAGAGGTGAAAAAAATACTCTTGCTCAAGGTGGCACAGCCAGGGAGGGGGGAAGTCGGGACTCAAAGCTGGTGGTTTAGTTTCACGGGTCATGTCTGGCACTCTAAGAAAAGATATTTTCTCTGGGATAGAGATTGGGGGAGGGAGAGAAAGAGAGGAGAGGAGTGAGATAGGGGGGAGGGAGGAAGGGAGAGAGAGAAAGAGAGGCACAGGTCCCACACAGAGAGACACACACAGACAAACAGAGACACATGGAGAGGGACAGAGACAGAGACAGAGAGACAAAGACAGGTAGACAGACAGACACACACACACATTTGGGGATGGGAATAGAGACAGAGACAGAGATAGAGATAGATATCTGTGACGTACCTTTTGGAATGGCATGGTACACATTTCTGGTAAGAGGCTAGAAAGAAAGATGGCATCTCAGAAGGAAGAACTGGGTTTACAGTGCAGTTTGTGAGGTGTCAGTGTGCAAGGCCCAATATGGTACAAAATCTCTCAGGAGAGGTGAATGGGATGCCATGGGCAAAAGCAGTACTTCTCCAATAGAATTAAGAAAAGGGCATTGCAGAACACACAGAGACAATGTCCTTAGAATAGCATGAAATAGGGTGGGAGCAAGCAGTTGCCACACTCTTTCTCTGGCACTCTGCTTCAGCTTCTACCATTCTTGTATTTTGTGTGTGTCTGTGTGGTGGTATGGATGAAGATGGCCCCCATTGGATCATATATTTGAAAGTTAGGTTCTTAGTTGTGGTGGTCTGTTTTGGAAGGATTAGGAGGTGTGACATGCTGCAGGAGGTGTGCCACTGAGGGTGGGCCATAAAAGCCCCCACCAGGTTCAGTCTCCCCCAGCCCTTCTCTGTTTCTGCCTACTGCTCATGGATTAAGATGTGAGCTTTAAGCTTCTGCTCCAGCACCATGCCTGCCTACCTGCCTGCCTGCCTGCCTGCCGCCGTGGTCCTTGTTATGATGATCAAGGACTAAACCTCTGAGACTGTAAGCAAGCACCCAATTAAATGCTCTCATTTATAATTTGCCTTGGTCATGGTGTCTTTTTACAGCAATAGAAAAAAGTAGCTAACAGAATCTGGATACCAAGATGGAGGTGAGACTTCTGCAGGGCAGCCTCCTCACCAGAGCAAGAGGGTCAGAATCTGAGGAAGGAGGTAGTGAAGCTTCAAATCCCTGCAACTGAAAAAAAAAGCAAGCAAGGGTATATTTTCAGTTGGCTCTCTAGGAATTATACCCTAAAATGAGTTCACCAGGAGGTGTCTGCAGAGGCTCTGAGCAGAGGCTGGTATCATCTCCACACACATTTCCTGACTGTGCTCAGAAGTCATTTTTTTGTTTTTTTCATTTCAGCTTCCCTTACTATACTGGATATATGGAGAGGCTGAGATTTTCAAAACTGTCAAGTCTAGTTCTATTTATTTATTTATTTATTTATTTGGTGTGCACACGCTTTTACATGCATGCACATGCACACACAATATGGAGACCAGGGCACAACCACAGGTGGTATTTCTTAGAGTTGTGTATCTTGTTTTTTGAGACAAGGTCTCCTACTGTGACCTAGGCTTATTGATTTGGCTAGGCTAGCTGGCCAGTAAGCACCAGGGATCTTCCTGCTTCTGCCTTCCGAGAACTGGGATTATCAGAATGTGCCACCAAGCTCAGAATATTTTACTTGGGCTTGGAGATCCAGCTCAGGTCTCCCTGCTTACACAGCGAGCATGTTACCTACCATTCTACCTGCTTTGTCCACCCTTTGGCTAATAGTTCTTCCCCAAGTTTCTGTATCTCTTCTTACATTATTTCAAGCAGAAAGAAGAAGCCTGACGATGCTGTCAACACCTTGGTAATCACAGTAGCTGGACAACGAGTTCATATTGTTGAAGCTCTGTATTCCCTTCAGCAGATGAAAAAAATGGCAGAGTCTTCTGCCCCTGTACCAAAGACCTCCTATGCTCCATTGTCTAGACTATGACCCTCAGTTCCTTTGGAGTCCTTCCTGGTAATATTCTTAAGGTCTATTATCTCTTCAGGGACATTTACTCTTTCTCTTCCGTGCATCTCAAAGTTCTTCCAGCCATTCACTACCCAGTGGCTACTCCCATATTTTCAGTTGCTCGTTACAGTAGCACACAGTTGTGGTACCAAATCCTATTCTCTCAGGATTCAGGCAGAGAAGCAGAAGTAGTAAGAGATATCCACACATTTGTATTTTATAAGGTTTATTACCATGTCACTAAGCGATGGGAGGTGATGAAGCAGTCTCTATGATGCTATAGCTTCCTCTTGGACTATGTGTGGTAAATTCTCTAAAGGAGTTAGTTGGAAAGGAAACTCACTAGTACACTGTAGCCCCCAAACACAAGTTGAAACCCCACAAACATGGACCAAATCCTGTGTTTATACTTGTTGCCTATAACCTCAAGGATGGAATTATCCTGTAGAAGCCAGGGCCTTCCATCTTGGATGTAAACACATGACCTACAAGGTTCAAAGAGGTTCGGAGGTGAGGGGAGAGGCTGACCGCTCAGCACCTGCTTTAGGCAGTTACAATGGACCAGCCAGCCAGCACCACACTTGAACTGTACAGAAAAGGCTTGCCCATTTCTGTCTCTTTGTGTCTTGAATTCATCCATGAATCTGTGTGACTCTCCTTACTAGGAAATTAAGGAAAGGAATTATGGGTGATACAGTTAAGCCTACCCAGTGGGCACACTATGCAGGAATCACACTTCAGCTGTGTTTACTGTGGAGGCCCACAAAGGTTTTCTAGTGAGATCTGAGCTTGCTTTACCCAGCAGAGCTGCATTAGAGGATTGCTTGACCATGTGCATGGTTTCTAGGTGATTGGAAGGGTCTACACTTGGGTGAGCTAGGGGGAGGTCTTTTGCTCCCTTGACATTCCTGTAAATAGCCATTGAAAAGAGACAGAGGGGGCTGGTGGATAAGGATCCAGGTCCTCCTGAGGCTATCTTGTTTCTATCCGTCTCCTTCCCGTCTATCCTTCTATCTAAATCTCTTATCCCTTTCTCCTCAAGAGTACCCTGGGGTAAAATGTGGAAG